GCTTTAAACTGCGTTTTAAGGGGATACCAACTGAAAATCGTGGCCAACTTCAAATGGTCATAACATTTCTAAAAGGCATGAATTGTGTTGCAAGAAGATTTGCAGGGATCTGAAAGTCCCTTCTCTTGTACTTTCTGAAGGGTACTGCTAATTTACACTTTCAAAAACGTGCCTACTACCTTCCTCTGAATACTCTTCTCCAAAATTTGTGATGAATGTACAGTGGGCCTGAACGGGAGACAAGCTTTTATTCGTTTTTAGAATGTTCACTAAGAAAATAAAATTTTCTCGTTATTCGCGTTCTTATCGTGGAATATAGATCTAAAGCGAACGCTTCAGGAGGAAAATCATGTGGTTGATTTCATACCCATGTTCATTTAAGTGTACGCTGCTGCTGCTCAGATCTTCTTAGTTCTTTTTCTGGATGTATTTCTTAGCAATTCCATCGCAGTGATCGTGGGGACCAGGAGTTTCCACTTCCAAGCAGCCCTTTCCATATGAAGTTTCAAACAGCTCCAGGGAATGATTTAGCTCAGCTCAGGTTCAGATTTTTAAAAGAAAGAGAGAAGAAAGAGAAAGAAAAGAGAAGGAGAAGGAAAATAATAAATTATCCGCTTGCACAGCTGTCTTCGTTTATGGTGCGTTGTCCCCGCATGCCCCATCAAAGCAAATACGACCATGCTGAGAGTTTTCTCGACCATCATCCTGCATCCGAGTCGGATCATTCTAAACCATCAGCAGGGTATAAGGCGAACTGAAGACTGGAATCTCGAAAGTCTGGAGACTTTCGAGCAGATAGCTCGTCCACATTTTAGCCTGATCTCGCGACAGCGGATGCCCACCTTGCTCATTTTACCTAGTCCATCTCATGGGGAAAGAAGTCAGACTCTCTGTACAAAATTGAGAATTTAAAATTGTTTGACCAGATATAAATGAATTAAAGAGGCGTTGACCTAGTCACACTTAGGTGATATGTTGCTTAAGCATGACAGCGCTTCGCGTGAATAAGTATGACGAGGAAAAAATAAAAAAATCAAAACTGGTCAAGGAGATGCGGAAATTATGCACTCCACCTGTTATGAATGCCTCAACTTAGCTAGATGAAAAGTGAAACGGGAACAAATGATTGATCAATAGTATAATGAATTAGCAAATGCTTTCTCCCTCTCTGATGCCATGACAATTTTCACAGCTGAGCATCTTCAAACACCATGATGTCACTTTTGGTAGCTTCAACGCCAACATGGCATTCACCAGCAGTAAACCCTTCTTTGCAAAACTTTTGTCTTTTTTCGGTACCACAGTCTAATCCCTCACTACGAATTACCTCCTTCCCAATTAGCAGGAGCATCGTTCTTAGATTTTTGCAAACAGTTTCTTAATTCATCAGCTCACTCTGCCCAGAAATGATATTTAATGCCATGAGGAAGCCAAAAACCCCGCTAACCCAAATTATTCGTCCATCTATGATCCGCATTTCCGGAATGTTTCTTGTCGTTTTCAAAGAGCAGGGACGGTAGTAAAGTGCCATAGACTGGGAGTCAAAGGTGGTGAACTGCGGCCGTAAACGGCGAAGATAGACGGCGAACTTCAGCACGATGTTGGCAAAAACTGCTGCATCGCCCGGAATTGAACTCTCTGCTATTCACTTGACAGCGGGCACTGATACCACTGCGCCATCAACGCTGCATTGCACATGCTGGAAGGGTTGCTGAGGTAGAGAACAGCCGTCGGGGGGAGAGGGGACCAGCGGATCAATGGGCATGGCAGGGACGCAGAAAGACGGCGTGGCAATTTGCCAAAACGGCGAGCCGGCAGAGAAAGGAGAAAGTGGATGGAGATTGAAGAGACCATAAAATGTACTCGGGGGTACATTTTAGCCACCGTCTATGGTCTCTTCAATCTCCATCCACTTTCTCCTTTCTCTGCCGGCTCGCCGTTTTGGCAAATTGCCACGCCGTCTTTCTGCGTCCCTGCCATGCCCATTGATCCGCTGGTCCCCTCTCCCCCCGACGGCTGTTCTCTACCTCAGCAACCCTTCCAGCATGTGCAATGCAGCGTTGATGGCGCAGTGGTATCAGTGCCCGCTGTCAAGTGAATAGCAGAGAGTTCAATTCCGGGCGATGCAGCAGTTTTGCCAACATCGTGCTGAAGTTCGCCGTCTATCTTCGCCGTTTACGGCCGCAGTTCACCACCTTTGACTCCCAGTCTATGGCACTTTACTACCGTCCCAGGTAGATTCGTGCATTTTGTGGTGATCAGTTCGGGACATGTGTCCTCACTGAGACTTTCAGAAAATCTCCAAGCCCTTTCAGTTATTCGGAGAGCTTCCATGCCTCCAATATGTCCGAGTTTTTGAGACACACAAATGATTAATGTTGACGCTTGGAGAAGAATGAGGACTTCCAAACCGACTTGCCCCTTGGAACGAGATTGGCGATCATTTACATAATTGTTTTCTTGTCAAAAATAAAACTTGGCGAGCAGTAAAAAGAAGCGGCGACGTTCCCAGGGAAGCCGAAAGTTGCACTTGGAAGCGGGTTGTACGGAGTCGAGTCTTCGTCACAGTTGCACCGTTCAGCATATATTCCGAATATTCGGTTGGTATCATTCAAGGTTATTTCAGACAGTGTCTGTACCTACGAACTTTTCTAAAGTGACTTGGGATGGTGGGCGATTCGCTTCAGCACTTGTAATTTTAGGGGAGAACGTGCTATATTGTGGGGGCCTTCTGTAATGAGGTCGTGAGAGATTTTTTCTTCCTCACCTTTTACAATAGACTCCGTAGATTACTATAAAACCTTGGAAGGACATATGGTTCAAAACAAGTACCAATGCGCTTTACTCAAGGAGAGTGTGGCTTCCAAAACCGAGCTTTCTGAACAAGTTAGCTCCCAGTTCGCATTTCGATTGAAACTCTCAGGTATTGTTGTCAGCGAATTTCAGACACAGGAATACTGTCACTTATAAACTACAGAGGAGTCACTACAAGTACCACTCAGAGCACGGAAGCGATTCTATGCTTAACTGTCTTGGAGTTTTGATTCCTGTATGCTGCAGATACATAATATTGCATTTGAAAAGGAGGAACCACATAATGTTGTATTTTATACTTCTGATTTAATCATGACGAATTTGTGACCTTTAGTCATGAGACGGTGCAAAAGATAGAAGAATAGAGGCACTCGCGGAAGATGGGGTTACTAGTATGAGAAATACGTTAGTGACGACGGAAAAACTTTTGTCTGCCAACTTTCTGAAGGAATGCAATTGTGGGAGACCTTAGAATTATGAAACGCATTTTATATTCAAAACACAGTTATACATATGAAGAGAAGTAGCACATAGCTCAAGATCAGATTCTAATAGTGAAATTATAAGGCTTGTAGAAAAAATTGCACAGTTGACCGTATTCCAAGTCTAAATGCTGTATCTTGTGGAAATCTTAGTGAAAGTGCTATGACGTACGATTGTAGAACGTGTTTTCGTCCTTTAAGTAATCATATCAGCAACTCGATTTCAAGTCTCACGGTTTCGTTTCTTCAAATACAATACAATACAATACCCCGTCAGGTGAAGTACCTCTCCGTGGTGCGGGGGAGAAATTGTCGACAGCGATAAAGTGTTGCCCGCCACTTTAAGTGACCTGTCGTACAAGCAAAAGCTTCACCGAGTGCCCGTGCTCCGACTTCTACTGGGCCGGATTTCGCCTCACGGGACGAAATCGCATCGATAGGACACGAGGGGCTGGCAACCCCGAATGGACTGGTGCAAAATATTAGCTACGAACCGAAATAGAGAAGATTGGAACCAAATCGATGGGGTCAGGCTCCGGCGTCGGCTTGACACCTACCCACGATTTGCGGATGCTCAGGACGTCATAAGGACTACGGCCAATGGAACTGTCAAAATATATATTGCTTGTCACAACGTCCGAACGTTATCATCTGATGCACTTACTGATGTGTACATTCAGGAGACGAGAAAAGTTAAAGCCGACGTGATAGGAGTAAGTGAAACAAGACGGAACGAAGACATAGTTGCAAAATGGCATACAGGAGATCAGGTTTTCCTTGGAAGGTCGTTTCCAAATGTACCCCGCACGGGAGGGGTAGGATTTATTGTGAAAAGAAGAGTTGTTCCACTAATTGTAAGCTGTGAAATCAGATCGCCGCGAGTCGCAATACTACTTCTGAAAGTTGGACGGAAACGAACTATGAAGATTATACAGGTATACGCGCCAACAAGCCAGCATGACGATGAAGAAGTAGAACAGTTTTATGAAGAAATAAATGAAGCCTTACGGATTCCATCAACATACACAATTGTTCAAGGCGATATGAATGCATCTGTGGGCAAAAAAACGGAAAATGATGGTAGAGAGATGGGAAAATTCGGGTACGGAGAAAGAAATGAGCGCGGTGAACAGATGATCAACTTTTCAACATCAAATAGGCTTCGCATCATGAATACATTCTTCATGAAGCCTGAAAAAAGATTATGGACTTGGAAAAGCCCGAACGGAACAGTAAAAAAGCAGATTGATTATGTGTTTTCCAACGTTCAACGAATTTTTCAAGATGTTAGCGTAATCGGTGAAAACATCATTGCCACGAACAGTGACCACAGAATGATTCGAAGTACCATCATAATAGACAATGCACTGGAATCCAGAATACTTGCAAGAAGTCGACGAATAGGTTCAAAAGTCATCAACCCTGAAGAAGTAGAAGAACAACTGAAGAGGAAAGATCTGAACTATCCACGGCTTGTAACGATCGACGATGATTATCAGAAGCTAATTCAAACCATAAAGGAGGTGGAGGCGGGTAGCACGCGCGTGAGAAGGCAAAACCATCGGCTATCGGAGCAAACTCTACAACTTCTGAGAAGGAGAGCTGCTTTAAAGGCACAAGGAATACTAGACGAAGAATACCATCACATATGTGAGCAAGCTAGGAGAATGATAGTGGCAGACTATGATAACTACAGGACCCGAAAAATAAGAGAAGCTGTGAAAGCGAACAAGGGGCTGAAAAAGGTAACAAAAGAAGTCCAACTAAAGCAAAAGATGCCACTAGCCCTTAAGGATGAAAGTGGAAGTCGAGTATTCACTAGAAGTGGCATGACACGAATATGCAAAAGCTTCTTCAACAAACTGTACAGTTCGGTTATCCCCATACAAGAAGAACGTTGTACAATTCAACCGGAGGAATTCCAACCTGTCCTAACAGATGAAGTAGAAGCTGCGATTGCAAAATTAAAGAACGGAAAATGCCCTGGAATAGATGGAATAACGGCAGAAATGCTCAAGGCCGGCGGTACTACTTTAGCAAAATCGCTTGCTCGAAGATTCACAGTATATGCTCAAGAAGTCAAGCTCCCCAGTGAATGGAAAAAATCATCGACAATTCTTCTGTTCAAAAAAGGTGATAAAGAAGAAATAAGTAACTACCGCCCGATTTCGCTGTTATCTCAGCTATACAAAACTTTCACGAGAGTATTGCTCAATAGATTATCACAGGATATAGAACAGAATGAAGATCGGGAACAAGCAGGGTTTCGGAAAAACTATTCCACAATTGATCACATCCACGCTTTGAGACAACTGCTTGAGAAAAGTAGAGAATTCCAATTGCCGGTATGCTGCCTTTTCGTGGATTTTGTGAAGGCTTTTGACACAGTGGAGACGAATGCAATTCTTAACTCTTCGTCAAATAGGAATTAGTTCCAATTATGTCAACATCATAGCAGAAATGTATCGAGGAAGCACTACCAATATCAAACTGTTCGATGAAGAATGTGAAGTCGACCTAAGAAGAGGTGTACGACAAGGGGACTGTATCTCACCGAAGCTTTTCTCTGTGGTAATTAATGCTGTATTCCGAAATTTGGAATGGAATGAGGGAGTCAAAATAGATGGAGAAACGCTCACACATCTTCTATATGCGGACGATTGTATATTACAACAACAATGGAGCTGCAGAGGAAATTGAGGGATCTACAAGTAGAAGCAGCGAAAGTTGGTCTACAGATTCACCCAGAGAAAACAAAATGGATGAGAAATCGATACTGCGAAACAGGGAATATTGATTTGGATGGAAAGCATATCGAAGAGGTAGAATCGTTCGTTTATCTCGGACAACTGGTCCACAAAGATGGTGGGATGAAAGATGAGATATCAAGAAGAATTCGAGCAGCATGGACAAGTTTTGGCAGATACAAAAGAAGCCTTACAGATGAAGAACTAGCAATGAAAGATCGTTCAACTCTCTTCAACACAATGGTATTACCAACCCTCACATATGCAGCAGAAACCTGGGCGACAACGGAAAACGATGAAAAAAATTAGCTGTAACACAAAGGCATATGGAAAGAAGGATGTGCAAGATTTCGTTAAGAGACCGAGTAAACAACGAAGAGCTGAGAAGACGCACAAACGTTGATGATGTTGTCAAAACCATATATCGAAAGAAACAATCATGGGCTGGACACGTGACAAGATGTAAAGATAACAGATGGACAGTAAGATTAACCGAGTGGTACCCTCGAGGATGCAAACGCCCTGTGGGTCATCCGAAGATGAGATGGTGCGATCCAATGGTACAGTTACATGGTCACCAATGGACAAGAATAGCACAAGACAGAGAAAGATGGAAAGGTTCCGATTTGCAAACATGGAGGAATGTTTGAAGACAAATCGCGTAAAAGGTAAAAGGTAAAAGGTAAATACAATACATTACGTTCAAAAAGCAAATTCGCTTGACTTTCTCGATTCAGCACTACACCGAGTCCTGCGCCAAAAGATATAGCCATAACTTCGATATAGTTTTTTAAAGATATCATTATGCAAAATCTGGTCTTTCTTAGGTCGTATAAATACATATTTATCCGTGTACATCAAAGGCTATGCGGGACGCTCCGCCAAAAAGAATGAGTTCCTGAAGGGAAACAGTTCTTAGCCAAGGAAACCTGTTGCCCCTAATCCGACATGATGGGCGAACTCACCAGCGGATTGTGACCAAGTGCATGGGAGGTAGTGGTTCCCTGGGAAGGTCCAACGTGAAACCTGTTCACGGTACCCCTTCACCACGTTTGCGGCTGGCTAATCTTTGTTCAACGTATCGGTTCTTGGCGAGGTTCACGTGGAGAAAAGGTACACCTAGACGATCCCTTGTAAGTTGAAAGCTGAAAACAACAAAAACTTTTCTAGGGACCTGGAATGTGCCACAATAAGCTTGTGCCAGTGAGGGGGTAAGGAGTGACCTGAGACGTTGCACAACATTACTGATAGTGAAACCAATGACAGCACGAAGACTTACTACTTTAAGCAGGTAGAAAATCACAGATGACATAGTTACACTTCCGTGATCTTATACTCTTGGATGAGGCATATAATTTGAGCTTCGCTCCATGTACTCCACGTCTGTCAAAGGCAGATATTGTCACAGCATATCTCTACCCTGCATCAGTCAAGACAACAAGGAACAGTGTTCAATAAGGAGCCCCGTCATAATGTTCGTCACCCGTGCGTGTCTGCAGCTCCGCGACGGAGGCTTGACCACATAAGTCCACCTGTCGGTAGAAAGGAGCAGCTCTTTCAATTAAGGAGTTGTCTAATTCCATTTTATCTCGCAGGAGCAAATAGATATGACAGATACATGATTAATGGATCTACTGACCACTGTTCCAGCAGTTCAAGGGGTGCGAGCGATGGGCCAACGCATCACAGACTGAGCTTGCTGGAGCATCGTTCAAACCGCTGGCGCATCACTCATACTCCGCGCACAGCAGCAAATTTGTGGGCTCGCTAGCGAATTCACGCATTCGCGAAGAATGAGAGACCGCTCAGGAAAAATGGAGAATATGTAGTTGTACCATGCATGCGTCTTTTTCTCATGCAAAAATCTTTCTGAAAAAGTGAAAGGTTTTCCATGTAAGAGCTACTGTGACAGTGCAGGGGTTTCATTCTAAAAAATACTGTATTATTTGTGCACAATGTATCTATGTCACCTGCGTACATGCAGAAGAGTCCGACACTGAATTATTCAACTTTGACCCTAGTAAAGCTCAGGGCAACTAGGAAAGTTGCCACTAAAATGCCAAGATTCTAAACATTCTTATGTTACTTTAATCGAACTTCCGCATTCCAAGTATGTTGCGGTTGCTCACTTACAAAATACTCGAACACATCTTTCAAAGCCGAACAAAAGGCATTCTCAATGGAGTCGTAATGCGAACTTCGTTCGCAATATGTTCTTCTAAGATCAGTTCCCTCACCAGATTTTTCGTTCCTATTTTCCTTGGTTTTTTTTTGTAAAA